ACTTTTTAATAGTCTTTGATCAGTTGACAATGTAGAATTAACTTTTAATCCGTTTTAAACCACAAACTTCTAGCCAGTTTGAAGACAGTCTCATGGTGTACAGAAAGTCATATACTGAAAGAACCGCATGTACCCTCGTTAATGACTGTGAAAGCAAAGGTGCATTTTCAGAAATCAATTTTAGTGCAGTTTCTTCACAGAATGTGATACTTTCTCACCAATACGCCAAATGTATTTTCAGAAGAACTCAGAATCATGTAAAAGAGCTTGTTGATTTGTCAAACACATCGACATACAAGCTGTAATTAGCTTACAAACAGCCAATTAAATATGTCAGCTTCTCTTTTTTTCCCTTTGTGGACAAAGTCTCAGGCTTGTGGTGCTCCATAAATGGCTGCAATGAAAGTTTCATCCCTTTCTCTTTGCCAGAACCCTCCTTTTCAGAACACTCAATTTCTGCCGCAGAATAAAGGGATTTGACTTGAAAGGCTCTCTGACTTTGTCCACGGTTACAGAGACAGAGAGGAGCGCAAGGGTGACAAAAACAAAAAGACAAAAAGAGAAAGAAAGAGAATCTGAGGAAAACCTTACGTAGATTCTCCAGGAAGATCTCCATTAAAACTTCAGAGTTTCTGTGGAGGAAAGTGGTACTTTCTGAATGAAGCAGATTTTTAGAAGTGGAACTTTAAGAACAGTTTTCCCTCAAAATTTGCAAATAAAATAGCAAAATGCATTACAAACATGGATGAATGTGCATTTCATGTCAAATGGTGCCATTATTTTTGTGCCAGATCTTTTTTCTAAGTGTAATTTGTTCAGGGCTTAATTATGAACTATAAAATAATCACTTCATTACATCAAGGAAATTGCATAAGAACAACTGAATAGGAACAACTGTTGAATGTGGTTTTAATTTAATTCAAACCCAGAAAATATAGTAAATTTAGTAGCAAAGGAGTGCTTTTTTATCATCTGAAACAAGCGTCTTATATTTCAAAGCAGTTTATAAAATCTAATTCACATCAACAAGTAAAACAAGCCGAAGCGGTATCTGTTTATAAATGAAAGCTAAACATAAGTATTAGTAAAGCACATTGTCCACACACCAGTGGCTTCAAAACTATAACATAATTTGTTATAATGAAACAACTATAGTTTTCTTTACCGCTATTTTATATTCCTTTTTCTGATCTGAATACTGTTAAATGTGAAGGATTAATTAAAGAGTGGCAGTGGGTAATATAAGTTTATAACAGATGTTTTAACAGTAGTGTAAAAAGTATTGTAATTTATCTTGCATGCAAATTGTTAATAAGTTGCTTTACCTCCAGTTACCATAAACTTTTGCAAAAGTAACAATACAGACCTGGGCATTTTACGGCCTGCAGGACTTCTCTGTGAAGTATTTATTTTATTAAAAATTCCACCGCAAACAGAGTCTTGCAATGCGCAGGTCAGATATTGTGATTCAACCAAATGGGGACTTTAGCATTTGGCGTCTTTTTAGTACTCAGTTTCCTTATTTCAAATGGAGTTGTGCCTGTTCAGAGCACAATTAGAAAGGGATGCACATGCGGTGTGTCATGCTTCTTTCCAAGAGCAGCGAGTTGAAAAAAAATCTAAAGATTTCAGTGCTGCGACCGAACCATGAGTCATGTGTCAGGAACCAACCAGGCAGCTTCACACTTAGTATGGAATTACACAGTAATAAAGGTAGACTATTTACCTCAGATTAACGATTTAACAAATCCAGAATCAAATCCTCTCTCAATGATCACATATCCACCTCACATTGACCTGACTTCAGTGCACTTTATTCATTCATTCATTTTCTTTGCAGCTTAGACCCTTTATTAATCTGGGGCCGCCACAGCGGAATGAACCGCCATCTTATTTAGTATATGTTTTACGCAGCAGATGCCCTTCCAACTGCAACCCATCACTGGAAAACACCCATACACTCCCATTCATACACATACTGTACACTAAAGACAATTTAGTTTACCCAATTCACCAATACCACATATCTTTTTTTCCTTGAGGGGAAACTGGAGCACCCGGAGGAAACTTGTTCAGCCCAACACAAGTTCGAACTCTCTCTCAAAAAAAATCTAAATAAATAAAAATAAATAAATGAATGATTTTTTTTAAAGGGATGGTCCAGAGTGTATTTTTGTTGTGTTTATAAGATGCAAAGCAATGTGTACTCATGCTTCATTTTGTAAAAAGTCATGTTATTTTTTCATATATCTTACTTTGATTATACAGCTACTCAGCTAACGCGACTATCATAGTTCTTAGTTCCTCTAAAAACCTGCCCTTAAGAGGCTCCGATTGGAACATAATGTGCTGTGATTCGCAGATCGGCTCCATGTCACCAGGAAGCATCACGTCCAGTCATGCCTCTACATGCACATGCTGTGCCTCTGCAGTGTAAATACTGTCAGTCAGTCTAGCCATGTCAGTGTGATCCTTTTGAAGCCCAAATACAGAAACAAAACAAGCTCTGTGGAAATAGAAGCATTGGGACATCATTTTAGCTTTCTTGGCTATAACATATGCACATAACCTGAAGCGTTTGTGATCTCACTAACCCGGATGTATTTTTTTGTAGTGCCGAAACTTCGTTTGCTGTAGGCTTTCCTAAGCTAACTCTGTAAAAGCCAATGTCTTCCTTTGCATTGATCTTTGAGCGTATTACATTCAGAGATGCTGTTTATGTTCACACAGCTACATTACGCATCAACTAAAGTTTAAAACATGATATCATAGTAGACCACCCCTTTAAACAAATAAATTGTATTGATCTGACCCCCTATAACCACCCTAGAGTCTAATGTGGCCCCTTGGAAAATTAATTGCCACCCCTGGTCTATTATATTCCCATTATTTATTCTGTAAAACAAATATGTGAAATTTCAAAATAATATATAAAAAAGCAATCATTAAAAGTCTATGTGGAATTATTAAGGAATGTTATGAGTGTGGGTTATAAGGCTGATTGTATAGAAATGTTTTAATTAACAATTTGGTTGGCATTAAAAAAATACCTTATACATCTTCCAGCCTAAACAACGACGAATGAAGTTCTGCACAAGACTTTTGGCCAGCGGAGAAATTAAAATGGTCGTGCCCAACTGAGTCTGGTTCTCTCAAGGTTTTTTTTTCTTCACTCCCATCAGGTGAAGTTTTTTTTCCATCTCCGCTGTCGCCACTGCCTCGCATGGTTCAGGATTGGTAGAGCTACGCATCGATGAATTGGCTCTTCAGTGTTTGAACTCTCAGTAATGATTAAATCACACTGAACTGAGCTAAACTGAACTGAACTGAACCTAAACACTAAAACCTGAACCACACTGTTCCAGTTACTGAACCACACTGTTCCAGTTACTATGACCATTTATGTGAAGCTGCTTTGACACAATCTACATTGTAAAAGCGCTATACAAATAAAGCTGAATTGAATTGAATTGAACCAAAATATAGTATTCATTCCTCACGGTTGAACCAAAAAAAAACTCAAATTTTGATCTCACTTGTAGTTGCCAACCACATCCTTTTCATTCCCTTCTTCTCTCGCTCACTTGTAAGTTGCATAAAACAGGTTTGTTCAATCAATAATACTTGTGCTGCACTGAGAACTCCAGCGAAAATTATGCAAAGCATGATGCAAAAAGAAAGAAGGCTCTCAACATGTGAACATGAGTGGTTATAAGAGATCCATTTGATTGCATCTTAATACCAGGTGGAAATGGAGCCCTTTTTCTTGCCCTTATACTATGCAAGTTTGACAGTAAAGGCTGTCGCGATAACTGCAATTTTTAAAATGCAGCTTTATTGTCATGCTAAGCACAACCACAGAAACCTCTTTTCTTTTTTTGCACTTCATCAACGGGCACTGAATGTTAAAGAAGAACTAATTAGCCCTTTTTTACAAAATGTAAAATAAGTCTCCGTTGTCCCAAGAGTGTGAATGTAAAGTTTTAGCTCAAAATACTCCACAATGTAATGCTTTATATCTGCCCCTTTGAAACTGGCCCTTTTAGGCTTCTAACTGTGCCCTTTTGATGACTGTCACTTTAAACTGAAATGAGATTGTGCTCTTTTTAAAAGAGGGTGCAGCTACAAATGCCTATGAGTCATAGCGGCAGTTTTAAAAACAATACCATGCTAATGAGGGACAGATTGTAGGTGGGGCTTACCCCTCTGATGACATGTAAAAAGGGAGAAATGTCAATCAAAGTGTTTCGCAGAATATTTTTATAAAGTGTGATTATAAAAAATAAAAATTATACATGTTTACCATTAGAAGCTGGTTATTTTCACAGACAGCTGAGTTTAAACCCCTTATAAAAGTGATTTTTGCATAATAGGTCCCCTTTAAAAAAATGAATAATGAATTCAAGAGTGTTTTTTAATGTGATTTTTTTTCCAGCCTTCAGTTTGTATCTACAATTTTTGGAATGATGAAATGGCAGATGCTCTCGTCCCAAAACCCAAAGTTGTGTAACCAATTAGGCAATAAGTTGTTTTCACATGAAGTGATTAATGCGCGAGACTCAAATAGAAGGCAGGAAGTGGTTCTTCTACACCTTCAAACAATTCAAATAAGTAGCAGCTTGTACCCGGAAACAGTATTCCATACATCACCACTTAACAAGTGGATAGGCTATGCAGTGTGTAAACTTTATACACATGGGTGTTTGCCAGTAATACGCTATTGAACCATTTACCACAAGAGAAATTCCCTACCCACAACAGCCCTATCAACAGAGGAACTTCTAGTCAGGTGCAACATTCTGGAAAATCCAGTGTTTTCTACTTCTGTGTTGGTCATGACAGCCTAGTTTTTAGAAACAGCTCCAGATCAGGCAGTGGCACCTGCTCTGTTGGTGGAAAAGGGGCAATAGCGAGGTGCTTCAAAGGTCCTTTTGTTCCTCATGTCTCATTCGGATAATGTCATCTTGCGGAGTGTGTACAAAAAGTAGAAACCTACTTACAGAGGCATCACGAGCATGTCATCTTTGAAGCTGCAGGGTTATTGCAGAAACCGCTAGCAATCCTTCTGTAGCCTCTCCTTCTGCAGAGAGAATCAGAGGAAGTACATAAGTGTTTTATTGAGTAAAGCACAAGACAGAAGGTACATGTGTCCTTATAAACAAACCGCAATCCCTCTCAGTGGAACAGAAACAGGCACTGGAACTTGTCTGAAAAGGAGATTTGAGAATGGAGGAGCACCAGGAGCAGCTACAACACTGGGTTTCCAGCCTTTTTTGTATGCTGCGCCCCTATGACCTACATTATTTACTTGAAGTACCCCCTGAGATTTTAAGTAATGCATTAGCGAGCAAGGCTAACAACTGACTCAAAAGAGCTTTCTCAAACACTCTTACCACTGCTTAAACACCATACTGATCTTCCCATGTTTACAGGGATAGTTTATCCAAAAAAAGTGAATATCAGCTGCTAATTCACCCTCAGGAATGTGCTCAGGACTGGATTAAATGTAATGATTCTTGCACTGATTGATTGTTTTCACTTCATAAGGTATTCATTAATTGTACTGTACATTAATGTATTTTTATGAGCCATTGGTATTCATTTTAATTTGCCTGTCACAGTAAGCACAGGACGACAACATGATGTCAGATTGACATTGTACCCCACCGTCGTGAGATGTTGCATTTTGGGTGGATATAAAAATAGGCTTGACGTCAGAACCCAATGTGAGACCGACGTCAGTGTCCAATGTTAGACAGATGTTGGGTTTTGGTCTATTTCCAACGCAATCTAAAAACTACTAAATATCAACGTCTAATGATGTTACAGCTTGACATTGCGTGGACGTTACGGCTGTCATATCTATCAGAACCTAAATTCTGGTTGCTATACCGGAAAAATAAATGTCAGTATTTGATGTCATTGTGATATTGGTTTAAGATGTTGGCTTTTGATCACATCACTTTCCAACAAAAACTACAATCAACCTCATTGACATCGTTACTGGACATCAAAATAGCATTAGACGCTGACTAGACATTGAATTTTGGTTACCTGGCATCACAACGTGTAACCTAATATTAAAGTCATATGATGTAGCGTGCCTGTTGGGTGGTTTGTATTTTATTCTGAAAGTACCGGTATCGCTTGACTCATACTTTATGAAAGTAATCACCAAAGTCTTTGATTTTAAATGTTTTACAGACTGTACTAAAGATAACATTAATTTGGATCATGAATTGTCTGAAGGTAAATTAGTAAATTAACATTTTTCAGGTTTTATTTCATTTTGAATAAACTATTAATAGTCAGTGTTGCATATACAGAACCATTCAAAAGGGGTCCATATGTTTTAGATACATTTACAATTAATTTTTTTTAAACATTCTAAATGTCTTTACCACAATTTTTGATAGAATTTAATTTATTTAAAGGGCACTTATTTTAGGCCAAGATTTAGGATAATTTTTTTGTGTGTGTCTCTTTCAAGAGTTCCCACTTAGATATGCTTGCCATTTATAGCAGGTTTGGCATGCTGTCCCGGGAGAGAACCCTGAGTTCGGAGATATTTGAGCCCAGGGCTTCCACCCGGTCAATAAGCATATCAGGTAAACAGCACAGTGACAGACATGAAAGAAGTGGGTCTCATGTAACGTTTGTGAGAAATATTACGGTAGAAATTTCCCAATGAGTATTTGATGTATTTGTTGTGGAGTTATTTTAAACCTTTTTGCAACGATGTGTTACACACAATTTCGTTACAAAGTTTACGCATGCACACACAACATGTTTAACTTTGCACTGTTTGTGCACTGCAAATGTGACAGGATACACGTTAATATCCACTGCTGTATGGATATCTGTTATGTTAGTGTACAAAATAAATTTTATTTAACAATACACAAACCGAGATTAAATCGTCTTGTTTTATAATTGTACTGACACATGGCTGTGGTGATAACGACGGTAAAACTGCTGTAATTCATTAATATGCACTTTAAAATGTTTTAAACTTGTAAAACTCATTCTTGATCACATTTGATGATGATTGATGATCACAGGGAGCTGAACAGATCTTTTAATCTCAGTTACTTTGCGCTCGTCCGGTCTTGTTTATATGATTATAAACGTTACTACAGAACTTCTGACAATCAATTTGGTGGGTGGGGAAACCACACTCCGATGTCACATTGCGGTGGGCCTCAAAATGAGAGGGATACGGATCCTATTTTAATGTCAGAAAAATGTAAAAAAAATAAATAAATAAATAAAAATAAGAGACTTATTGTCTTTATACCACCCAATATGACGGTGGACACACTTAATATGTTTTCATCATATGTGCCCTTTAATCCATATTCATAAAAGTATGATATTTAAAAAAATCAGGAACTCCTAAAAAGTACTGCATTGCAGGGTCATCGTTTTGATTAATTTAAGCTAATTGTTATTGTTACACATGAAACAGTTGTATGTAGCACAAGAAGAACCTCCAACTTATGATTTTTTGCAGCAAAAACTGAAATTCTAAAAATCCCAAATAAACTTAGTCAATAGTTAAAATGTAAGAAGCATTTATTTTTCCATGAAGAACATTTTCATTATTAAATAAGCCATGGATGTTACGTGTTCATTATAGAACCATTGATGCCACTTTTATTTAGAACCTTTATTTTCAAGAGTGTGTATTGAAAGCAAGAATGTTACACACAACTTTCCATAAAACACTTCTAAAATTTAGATACTGTAATACAAAAACACACACACACACACACACACCAGCACATATATTACGTACTGTAAAATCTTTAATTACAAAGCAAACACATACATGTTTCTTTGGCCACTTCATGATTTCAGATTAAATTAATTAACCATATACAAGTTTAAGATAAACAAAACCACCTTTTTGAGCTCCACTCACTTATCGAGTTTAGCAATTAAAAGAGCACCACAGCATCCCACAGCTTGGACAATATTTGTCTCAATGCTGATAAGAGCAAAGCCCAGTTGTTCAGCACTTAATTAAGATTAGGACGAGCAAAGAGAGAGGCTGCCCTACTTCATAAGCCTTCTCCCGGCCAGGCACAGCGGCTTTGTGCTCTCTTCGTCTCTGAGGATCTAGCAAAGGTTAGTCCACCATTGTATAGCGAAAAAGCAGAGAGACACTGGGCCAGAGTAATTAAGGAGTAAATAATGAAGCCCTTCAACGAACCCCTGCTCCTATGATCTGATTGACCAGTGTGCCAAGGCCATGTTCAATAAATCAATTAGCAACCACTGAGAGCTACTGCCTTAAAAGGTCACCGACACCGAGACGTTTGAGCCACAGGCCGAACTACTACAGCAGATTCCACAGGTGGTTTATCTTCCTACAAAAGCCCTTTTTATGACACTAAATTACACTTCTTTTTCCTGTTCGGAGTATTACCTTGAAATAGATCTTTTAATTCAATTTTAATGTCTTTATTAGGAAACAGGCTTGCAGCTACCAGGGCTGGATTATGGATCAGATAGCCAATGAGGCCAGTGCCCTGGAGAATTCACAATGCCAATGGCCATCAAAGCCTCGGGACATTTGGAAAAAAAAGCTGACTGAGATGAATATAGTGAAAGCTGACCACTAACCCTCCAGGCCTATAAATAAAGTATGATCTGAACAAATCTGGAGAGTTTTTTTCTTTTGTGGAATAATACTTTGAGAAATTTCTTGCGTGTTATTTTTTTTTTTTTTTTGTTCATTCAATGAAAACTAATTGGATTTATTGGTGTACCCCAGCGACTCTCAAGGTCCTGAAATGCACACAGCAAAGTTTCGTTTGTCTTGCAGAGGTACAGTACATACTGTTAAATTAATTTTGAGACACCTTTCCAGTGCCAACTGCAAGTGAACATCCTGAACATGAGAGCAGCACTTCGGTGAATATTATAAGTCACTCTTTATAATAAGCTTTCTTAATTTAATTTATTTACTAACATGGACTAAAAATGTACAATACTTGTATAGAAATTATTAATCATAGTTTACCATACACTAATGCATTATTGAAATCAATGCACCACACTGTAAAACCCAACAGTCAACTTTATCAAATGAAATGAATGTAGTTCTCATTTCTCATTCTCATTTTCTCATTTAACTCGATACTGAAAGTTAATTCTATTCGAAGAGAGTTAAATTGAGTAAGTTCACAGTACTCATATGGTTTGTAGAAATCGGTTTCCTCAAACAGTTTAAGTTGCCTTAACTTATTGGGTTTTTCAGTACTCAGTTAGTTTAAGTTCTCTTTATTTATTGGGCTTTACTGTGCTCAAATTGCTTCGTTCACTCAAATGGAGTAAGTTCACATTACTCATTAGGATTCGTTTTTGAAACTTAATGGTTTGTTGCATTCGTTTTGTTTTGTTTTTTTCTCAAATGGTTTGAGTTACCTTAACTTATTGGGTTTTACAGTGCATGAGGCTCTGCACATTTGCACTACATTCAAGTCACGTCACAACTATTAATGTAGACAATTCGTTATGTACACAATTTAATAAACAGCTTAAGAAAAGCAGGTTTAAAGCATTATGCATTTAAGAAACTGTATTAGAGTGGCTTTCAATCAGCTAAGTTGCAATGTAAAAAAATGTTTGTACACTCTAATAAAATATCGGGGTTCAAGTTATGTTTTAAACTAAACATTGGGTTTAACAGTCTGTATTTTACCCACATCTGAATTGAAAAATCCTATTCTTTTTACATGTTTCAACTAAGAATACTAGTTCAACAGATGTTATTAGCACCATTTATTCAAATCACAAATTCAGGCAACAATTTTAAGAACATCTGGGGAACAGTAACAGTCTCTGAACTTACAAGGTCTGAACTAAAAAAAATTTCGGCTACATATGCTCAAGCACTGAGCAAACAACAAATGGCGTCAATATATGCTCAAAAAGCGTTCTGCAATACTGAAAAAATGATGATCCTGACCTTCATTATCAACACCAAAGTGTCATATATTGTCAGACTGTGCTTAATATTTCACAAATGTTTAACAAGTAAACAACTGCAACATCAATGTCTTCTCTAAAGCT